GCACTCAGAGGGGATCCCTACTTCCCCAGCAACAGCTCTAGGGCCTCGGCCTCAGTGCCAACCTCCTCTCCCCATTGGCCCTCCCCACAGCTGGTGCTTGCTGCAGCTCTGTGTGCCTTACTTAACCACCCCTTCTTTCCCTGTTCCTACAAAGGAGGCTGCATCTTTGTATAACATATTCATATAAACTTTGTAACGTTTTGGAAAAAAACAACAAAACAAAACGATGACCAAGAGAATGCCAGTCAACGTCCAGAGTCTGGCTCAGGAGAACGAAGAGAAGGCAGAATTCCATAAGTTGGCCAATACGAAAATATTTCTGAGTGACTGCCTGGCATGTGACAGTTGTGTGACCGCAGAGGAAGGAGTCCAAGTTTCTCAGCAGAACACTAAGGACTTCTTCCATGTTCTGAACCTTTGCTTTGGTTTTCAGAATTCTCCGCTCCCCATCTGTTGGCTCTCGCCCTCTGAGGGGCACTGTCATCGTCACATGGGTGCAACTAAAATACTGTATCTCGAGAGGATTACCCCACTGTACATACATACCCTTTATCTGACGATGAAAACATCCCAAAGAATAAGAATGGAGACAGACTACTGTCCTTTAGGCTTAAAAAAAAAAAAACTGGAAGTGCCCTGCGAAGAGCTGAGACTTGGTTCTGTCCACGCACCTCAGAGAGATTGGATGAGGAAATGGCCTGGTTTGGCCCTGACTTTACCCACTTATGTTACTCTTGAAGGTGTCTTTGCCACAATGTGAATAAACTGCCGCCTTTTGGAATAGGGGCTCATACAAAAGTCTGCATTCCCAACTTTTCTTGAAACAGATCTATGTTCTGCAGCTGTGGCCACCGTCCTGAGACCAGGTCCTGTCGACCAGGTCCTGTTGCTGGGAATCAGGGGGCACTGGAGTGGAGCTCCCGCCCCCTGCCCTTTTACATTCAGGGATTGAGCTGAACTCACTTTGCAGGAGGCCTGGCAAGGGTGACAGGTGTCATAGATAGAAGGATGGAGAATTGAGAGGCAGACACCCTGCTCGGCCCCTCCCTAGGTGGGGTCAGGCAGATGAAGGCTGGCCAGCCCACACCACAATTGGGTGAGATAGCATCCTCTGTGTCCACCTCTCACCCCGTGGGCCTGACCACTCCCCTCAGCTCCGGGCAGCCCTCTGCGTTCCACGAAAGCACGCTCTGCCCTCACATGCTGCTCGCCCTAAATGAGAAGGAAGAGAGCAGCTGGCTCACAGACAACTACACAGAAAGATAGGGCTCACGGCTGCTGAGGGCAGTAGTGGTGGCAGGAGCCTCTCCTGCCTACGTGGCAACAGTGCTAAAGAGCAGCAAGCGAAGTGGTAAGGAGCAGCGAGCAGGCGGGCAGTAAGGAGCAAGTGGTCCCGGACTGTGAGAGGGATTTCCAACTGTTGGCTTAGGCCCATTCCCCACGAATTTCGTGCACTGGGCCTCTAGTCTTTTATTACAATACTAGAAGGCCTGTGCACAAAAATTTGTGCACTGGCAGGGAAGGGGGGGGTCCCTCAGCCCAACCTGTGCCCTCTCACGGATCATGCTGCCGCTAGCCCTGCCCGCCCAGCCCGCCCCACCTACCCCGCCCAAGACACGGCAGGCCTGGATCCCTCGCTGGGGTGGGCAGCCACTTAGATCTGCTGCCGCCGGCCCCGCCCAAGACATGGCAGGCCCAGATCCCGCGCTGGGGCGGACAGCAGCTCGGATCATGCTGCCGCTCGCCCCGCCGGCCCCATCTACCACCCCCCCCCCCGACACTGCAGGCCCGGATCCTGCGCTGGGGTGAGCGGCTGCTCAGATCCTGCTGCCGCTTGCCCCACCCACCCCGACCACCTGCCCAAGATGTGGCAGGCCGGGATCCCACGCTGGGGCGGACAGCAGCTCGGATTACACTGCCGCCCGCCCCACCCACCCCGCCCACCCCTCCCAAGACATGGCAGGCCCGGATCCAGTGCCGGATCTCCCACGGGAGGGCCGGTTGGGGGCGTGACTGCTGGTGGACCACTGCGGTCGCCCCACCAGCCCCGATCTCCTGCGGGAGGGCCGGTTGGGGGCTTGGCCGGTGGCGGATAGCTGCGGTCACGCCCTCCAGCCCTGGGTCGGGTCGCCCGCCACCGGGGTCACAGATAGCAGGCCCGGATGGCGGCGGGGCAGGCAGGATGGCGCTGTCCCATCCTGCCTGCAGTATGCAAATTAGCTGCCATCTTTGTTGGCGGTTAACCGCCATCTTAGTTGGCAGCTAATTTGCATATCGCCCTGATTAGCCAATGGGAAGGGTAGCGAAGTTACGGTTAATTACCATGTTTGTCTATTATTAGATAGGATCTTTTTATTAGATTTGACTTTGGTTGGTGGGCACATGGTCCAATATACAGATCTTGTAACATAGAAATCCACATCTGAAACCTATATGCTCATGTTGACCAATGTCACCCCAATAAATTTAGTAAAAAAAAGAAGGCACTGTTTAGCTATGATGGACTGTTAAATGTGGAAAAAAATATATGTTTTTATTGATTTCAGAAAGAGGGTGAGAGAAGGAGAGGGAGGGAGGGAGGGAGATAGAGAGAACACCGATAGGTTGCCTCCTGCACATACCTGGACCAGGTACCAAACCCACAACTTGGGTATGTGCCCAGGCCGGAAATGGAACTAATGACTTTTAAGTGCATGGGGGGATGCTCAATCAACTGAGCCACACCAGCCAGGGCCATCTAATCTTTTATTTTTTAAATTATTTTTATTGTTGAAAGTATTACAGATGTCCTTTTTATCTTCCATTTACGCCCTCCTCCCCACTCCCATCCCCACCTCAGAACTTATATGCATATAAGTCAGCGGTTTTCAACCAGTGGGTCGCGACCCCTTTGGGGGTCGAACAACCCTTTCATGGGGTCGCCTAAGACCATCGGAAAACACATATATAATTACATATTGTTTTTGTGATTAATCACTATGCTTTAATTATGTTCAATTTGTAACAATGAAAATACATCCTGCATATCAGATATTTACATTATGATTCATAACAGTAGCAAAATTACAGTTATGAAGTAGCAATGAAAATAATTTTATGGTTGGGGGTCACCACAACATGAGGAACTGTATTAAAGGGTCGAGGCATTAGGAAGGTTGAGAACCACTGACATAAGTTCTTTGGTTATTCTCTTCCTGTCCCCCATATCTAATCTTAAATGAATTAAAACATTGATCAAGAAAAAAAGTTAAGGCAAAAAGGAGCCCAGGGAACAATAATAATAACTTTTTTGTTAATCCTCACCTGAGGATATTTTTTCCATTGATTTTTAGAAAGAGTGGAAGGGAGGGAGATAGGCAAAGAGGGGAGGGAGGGAGGAAAAGGGAGAGAGAGAAGAAGAAAGAGAGAGAGAGAGAGACATTGATATGAGACACACTGATTGGTTGCCTTTCATACATGCCACAGGGATCAAACCTACAACCCAGGTACATGCCCTTGACTGGGAATTGAACCCGGACCCTTCGGTGCACGGGCTAGCACTCTAACCACTGAACGAGCACACCAGCCAGGGCACCCAGGGGATAATTATTGAACAAATGACAAACCTAAGGAAAAATATATTTTTTCTTCTGGAACATAAAGTTAAGTTTAGAAAAGATTCCTTTGATAATCTGAAGATTATTAGGGGTTAAATAATCAAATCCCTTCAATAATTAAAGTTCTATATGATCTTAAAGGCCAAAATATCATGTTCTGAAAAACAATATGGGAAGTTATTTGGAGTACAAACTTAAAAACAAAAGAGGCCTCTCTATATGAGGTTACCCATTGGGGAAGCTATCACATTTACTTCGAATCAGCTAAAGCTTCTTTTTTTCAGGTAAACATTCCACACCATTAAACACTCCTTTGAAACATTTTCTACACTTGGCTTCCAGCACACCAGTCCCTGACTTTTCTTCTAACTCACTGGAGGGTCCTTCTCAGTCTTTTGCCGGTTCCTCCCCCTCTCTGCTTTTTAATATTGGCACACTCCAAAGCTCAGTCCTTTGCCACCTTCTCTTTTCCAGCTATAGTAAATGATCTCATCCAATGTTGTGGCTATTCACTAATAACTCCCAAATTAATTTTGCCAATTCCAACTTGCACCTTGAAATCTAGACTTGGATATTCAGCTGACTACTAAGCATCTGCAACTTAACATGGTCACAACAGAACTCCTGATTCCACACTCCTCCACATTGGTTCTTCTTCCAGTATGCCTCCTCTCTGAATCCCAGAATTTACCCAGTTGCTCAAAAATCCAAAAGTCATCCTTTACCCATCTCTTTCCTTCTCCTTATACCTGTTATCAGCAGATCAATATCTTCTCTACCTTTAAAGTGAGTCTGAATTCAATATCTAAACATTTCCTCTTCATCAACCATGCTAATCTAAGACTCTTACCTGGAACACTGTAATAACCTAACTGGTCTCTCTTTCACCCTAAATCCTCTTCAGTCTAACTTCACACTATAGTTCCATATACTTAGTAGGTTAGTCAAATTATGGCTTCCCATTATATATCCATTCTGGGCTATAAGGACTTTCATGAAGTATTCTCTGGCTTCCTCTTATTTCATTTCTTACCACTCCTATTCCTTAATCACTGTTTTTATCTTACTGGCCTATTATTCTTCAAACAGGCCAAGAAAGTTAATATTTTAAAACCTTTTCACTTGCCTTTACCTCTGCCCAGAATGCTTTCCCCAAATATTCACTTGGCTCATACACTTATTTCATTAGGGCCTCTGCAATGTCACTTCTCAAACAGGCCTTCTTTAACCACCTTATCTAAAATAGCAATCCTCTCAACATTCTGTTTCTATTACCTGCTTTTTCTTTATAGCAACTGATTTTATATATTTATTTACTGTTTTATTGTCTGTCTTCTCCAATGGGATATACTAAATTCCACAAAAGCAAGTACTTTGTAGGTGACAGCTGTTATAATCAGCACACAGAACACCTGGCATACAATATGCTCAGTAAACATGTATTGAATCAAAAAAATGAATTGATAAATGAGATTCTATTCTGAACATTATCCAATAATATAGTTTAGGATTTTGCTTTAAAAGAAAAAAGAACCATAAAAACGTGCCCTAAAATAAAAAATCCTACTTGATTTCTCTCAAATGATATGAATTTTATTAAAAGAGAGAGTTATTCAGTAGCACTGAAGCAAAATTTAAAGTAGATTTTCAGCAAGATATTCTAGCTATTACAAAGTTTTTAAAAAGGCTTCAGAATTATTCCTGAAAATAAAGTTGCCTAAACACTTAAAAATGGGGTATATACATATATACACAAAAACTAGAGCAGTTTCATGAAATCAAACCCGTAATGCGTAGGGATGTCTTGATTATTCCACAATTCTCTCTCCTTCCTTCTCTCATTAAGTTGCTACCAGTGAAAACCAAGGAATCAGCCAACTACTTATTAACTTGGTGTTAGTGCTATTGCTCACAGTCAGAAAAATGGCAGTATCAATGGAGGTTTCATAGAGACAGCAGAGTATTTTGCATAAGTACGTCTGCGGCTTAACTGCTACTGTTTATTACCTGCTGTCATCCATCAAGGCAGCTTATACTCCACAAGAATGTGACAAATCCCACCACATAATGGATATATCTCTTTATATATAATTTGGTGAAAGATAGAGCCTGATGATTAAATCATTTTTCGCTAGTGCATTAAAGAATCTAGACCCCGAAAAGCAAAGCTAGCCACATCAAAGCTCTCCTGAGCCATGATCAAAGGCCAGCCCAAGCACTACCTGAGGATGACAGTGTGTTAGTAAAAAGTATATGGAAACTCAAGGTGAGCCACTTGTTCTCTCTGGCAACGAGGAAGGAATTTAGTCCAGTATGCTTGGTTTGTTTCTGTCAGCATTCATTTCATGTTGATCATGGAGTTTATGCTGTCTGTCAGGGGACAGAAGAATGACGAATACTACTTCGTATGAAAAGTTTCAAGCCTTGTAAGCCCTCTGAAAATAAATAGTCCAAATACTCATTCCATTTCTTTCCCTGTAGGCACAAAAAGGGTAAGATTACTTATTGAATATTTACTATGCTTATTCTCTACCTTCTCATTCACTAAGTAACAGACAAACAAGAAAGTACCCAAAGTTTAAGGGCTAAACATTCCTTTTGTTATATTGGCAAAAAAAATCAGCTGTTCAACTGAGTAAGAATTGTGAAATAGAAATGGGTCATCACTCCCACGCTCTAGGAATTTAGCATCTAAACTAGATAACACAGGAATAGACATTATTATATTACTGCCTACATTAAATATGTACACAGCAGAGTTTCTAGAATAATGAGACAACTGTGTTTGGGTTTGTTAAATTAGCTTTATAATAACATTCTGAATATATGCAACTGTACTGTAAAATGAGAAACATGGTCACAACAGCAAGAGTCAAATTACAAATAGTTGTATTTTTAGAGAAGACTATAGAGGATACGTGCCAATAAATTCACATAAATGTCATGGGGATGAATTCAGAAGGTAAACACTTCACTTTGACTTTGTGGAGGAAGTAGACTTAAGATTTGGGAAAAAGTGAAAATATAAATTCTTCTGATAAAATGAAGCTGTATGAAATCCCTGAAAATGATAAAATAAACTTATTTACCCGAATGGAGCTCACGTTTACTGTCCTTTCTTCTGGGTATTCCTTAAAAAAAAAATCATACACACAAAATAAAGAAGTGGGGCCTTTAGAGGATGGAAATATTTAGTTAGCAAAAATTACCAGAACATTAAGATAGCTCTTCACTGATCTATTTGCTACATTCTATTCCTACCACCACTCTTGGATTCCTTTTGAATAAACACCCACTATAACTTTCCATATTTCTTCCTAGAAGCATAAACAGAAGGAAAATAAAACCAGTGTATAAAGTGAGCACTATTTTGCTAATCTATGGCCTTATTTTTAAAAAATTCTGTGTTCAGCCACTGGGGTGGAAATGGAAGGGAGGGGGAGAGGGAGAGGGAGAGAGAAAGAGAGAGAATCTTGAAGAATGAGGAGGAAGTATGGTGAGGCAATCTGTGTACACAGTAGATTCTATAAAGCTCTGTAATTCTTTTATGAAAACTCGAACCTAAGTGATCCCATTTACTCCCTGGCCTTAACTATCACCTACTGTATTTCACTGAAAAGCCATAAATTCTAACAAACAATATATTTTATACATTACTAAGAAAAAACTGCCTATTAAACTATATATAACACAATTTTCTCAACACTTAGAATTTTTTATTTTATAAAGATTATAAGAGTTTTAGATATAGGCAGATTTTGATCATATATCATTTTTATAAACATGAAATGATAAATATATATAAAATGAAGTGGCAAAAGTATTTCTAAAACTTGACATTCAGAGTCCAACTCTTCTCAATCACTTTATATGCAAGAGTTGTGGATATCTAAGTTTGTTCACACAATAGCACCCTCTGTGCCACAGTGCTGATGATGCAACATTTCTTAAAAGAACTAAAAGCTACCAGTACCCAGGATTCCAGTTACATAAAGCTACGCAACTTTTGGCTCCTGTTTCAAGAAAAGTCTATAACATGTTTCACTGCTTTCCTCCCCTCTTCCTCCAAGTCATTTGTGTTTTGTGACTTAAAACAGTGTTTCCATAGTCTCCAATTTTCCCCTCAAGCTGCTGCCTTCCATTCTGCAAGGTCTGATTCTGGCAGTCTGCCTATACACACTCCAAAACAGCAAATGACAACTATATCATGATTGCTGCCTGGTTGACATCAATCAGAAGAAGCATCCTGATCTCTGAGAAGTGAAAAAGTATGTTTTTGGAACTGATAACATATAATCCATCCTAATGAATTCCATATTTATTTCTCTAGTTCCAAGCCCCTATTTCAAATAGCCTACTTAACACTTCTTAGATATCTCACAGGCATCTTAAACTTAAGTAGGTCAAAACAGAACTTGATTCTCAACTTGCCTTTCCCCAAAACCAAATAACCTCTCCTCTTCTCTAATGAGTATTCCTCTTATTAACAAACTAGTGGCCTGGTGCATGAAATTCATGCAGGGAGGGGGGGTTCCCTCAGCCCAGCCTGTACCCTCTCCAATCTGGGACCCCTCAGGGGACGTCAGACTGCCGATTTAGTCCCTCCCACAATCCAGGACTGCTGGCTCCTAACTGTTCACCTGCCTGCCTGCCTGATTGCCCCAACCACTCTGCTTGCTGGCCTGATCGCCCCCAACTGCCCCCCTTTCTGGCCTGATCACCCCTAACTGCCCCCCCACTGCCTGATTGCCCCCAACTGCCCCCCACCAGCCTGCTCGCCCACAACTGCCCCCCACCAGCCTGCTCGCCCACAACTGCCCC